TGTGCCCTAGAAATTTCAACTCTCTTCCTGATGTTAAAAAGTGTCCTTTTTGTTTCTATTTTCTCTAAAACTCTGTTGCTGCTTTGATCCATGGTATTCTCAGCATTCTTCTGGAGAACCACATTTCTGTTGCTTCAAGCCTCCTCTTCATCTTTGAAGAGATTGTTCAGCATTCATTGCTATACCACCTATTTGCACCAAGATTTTTACCTCTGCCTATGTGGACAGGTGGGGAGTTTGTATTGCTCTTAATGCTTCATATTTTAATTAGCACTTATCAGAGCTCTAATTGCTATTATTTAAACAATTTCAGGTGAGAAAAAGCTGACGTCTCCAATGTTTCAGCTTGATGTTATAACTTAGTACTTGAGGTGTAAGGAAATAATGTCTTATTTCAGTTATTACCTTTCAGTGCTATTAGTTCAGGTGTTTTACCTGATACCTAATAGATTTTCATCTGAAAATAAACATTTTTTTCACTATTTTTTTCTGGTGGTGGAGCAGGGTACATTAAAAGTTTTTATTACAGCACAAACAAAAGAAAAAAAAGAAAAATAAGGAGAAAAAAAAATCAATTTCAAAATTAAATGACAAGCAGTAATAAATACTATTGGTTTGTAAACAAAAAACTGAGAAATATAAGTGTAATTCTAGAATTACTTTTGTATAGAAAAGGGAAATTGTTGTTGCACATCAGTATGACAAAAATAGATAAACAGAAGCAAGGAGATAAAGAAAGGAAGTAGGAGAAGGATAAACAAAAAAGATCTTATCAGGGAAGATATTTTCTTATCAGGGAGGAAATAGTAGGTCAAGAAAGAAATCTATCATAGAAAGTTAAGAATAAAAAATGTAAATATAAAAAAATGGCAAAGAAAAAATTTCTTGAAGACTAATTTTTTTTTTTTTTTTTTTTAAGAAATATGTTCACCTTGTACAAGGCCCAAGAGCCACTCGAAGTAGAGGGTTACAGAGTAAGAGGCACAGTTTATGAGGATATGTGAGGAAGATAACGGTTAACCTTAGACTTGAACAGATTAAGATTGTGGGGTTCAGAGGAGCATCCTCTTGGGAGTTATTTTCAGAAAACAGCAGTTCATGGGAAGAACCTGCTCAAGCGGAACTAACTACAATGTGCATAATATAGTGGCAGTTTTACACCATGTCAGTTTCAGATGAAGCACAAAGTCTAATAGTGATGAGAGGGCCAATGCAGTACATCCCATGATGGGGTGAGAAGGCTGATTTAGGGCCCCAAGCAGTGCTTTGTGACACTCACTATTTTATCACCATCTGCATTTTTTCTACCTACATTTATATACATTACAAATTAAACTAAGCACAACTGATTATTATATGATGAAAAATTTTAATGCATTTTGACATTATTCTGGGTTCTGTTTTTTTTGTTCAAATCCGTGAATTTGTTTTGCTCAAGAAAAAAAAAAAAAATCACTGTATAAAATTCACTATTTTTTATCCATAATGTTGAATGTGTTAAAATTATTCAACTTTTTAACAAGAAAAATCTCAAGTTGATGATAAAAATTGCTGAAAAACATTGATTTAAGATGGAATGATCTATTATGACATGTCTCAATTTGTATTTATTTTCAATTTTTCTAGTTGAATTGTTCACCTATATTGCATATGATCCATTATTGCGTATAATTAAGTTACAATATTGTATTTTATATGAATACTACTATTATAACTTACTATTGTAAGGTTAGTCTTATAACACGCACTCGTACTTGGTATAACATAATTCATTAAGATATTCTCTATATGTAATGCTTAGGCTATTGTCGTAATGCCTGTATAGTTAGTATGAAGACTGACTCCACTATGACTACCCAAGACCTCATACCATGGAACTCCTTATAGTATTGGACAAGCTCATAGTCACTGGGAATGTACTCTTTACTCCACAACATCCCTCCTTTTGAGATTACTAATTTATTAAATATCTTTATTTTTATTTCCTATTAATATCTCCCCCTCCTCTTTTTGGAGAGTTTACCAACTGACTTGACTTTGTAGCATTTCCGTTTCAGATCCACTTCCGGTTTTTTTGTATGTTTTTTTTCCTTGAACTTGTTGGCCCCATGATTTGTTGTGGTACTGGCACATTATGCCATTTAGCATTTTAACCAGTTCATCAGGCCTTTAATCAGTTAATCTTTTCTTCAGCTGATTTTGGTGCATTTTATGATGGAATTTTTTTCTCCTTTCACCATGTAGACCAATTTTCTGATTCTAGCTGTTATTATGCCATCTTCCCATGTTTCCTTTCCATCCTTGTAGGCTCTAAAAAAATACTTTATCACCAATCTTGAAAGTATTGGTGTTGCTTTTATTTATTTATTTTTTTAATTTATCATTAAGATTTTTGCTCTGTTAAGTTGGTCGGTTTTACAATAAGCGCTTATTGTCAAATCCCACAGTTCGAATAGTTCCATCCAGTCTGTACTGAATAGAGTTGTCACATTTCTTAGATCATTAACTTTTGTTTTTACCTGCTTATTTTGAATTTTTAATTCTCCCCCCAAAAAACTGAAGTTGCAGTTTTGTAAGTCTTTTTTAATAAAAGGTTTTCCAATTTCTTTTATTTACTATTGAAATGTCACTACGAGTATCTAGTAACATTTTTTTCTCCATCATTGATTTTTAGGTTAACAAATTTTTTTTTGTTTCGTGTGCCTATTTTTTCCATTGCAATATTATTATGCATTAATTTCTACGTGCGAAAATTTTTTCTTGGTTTAGGTCTGCAGTACGATTTGATACGTCCTTTTTTATCACAGTTACAGCATTCTGTATATTCCATGGACAGTCTTTTCTAAAATGTAATTTTCCACATCTGAAACAAAATTTTATATTCCTTTTTGTGCATTTTTCCTTAGCTTTTACCAATGCACATTCTTTATTCTGAAGTTTCTGAGAATTATGCTTCATTGTTTTGGCAATTGTCCACTATTTCCTATAGTGTTACATTATTATTTTGCTAAAATTTTCATTTGCACTTCAGCATCTTTTTCTGCTGTTAGACCTTGCATGAAAATTAATCCCTTGAACATATCCAGAGTCATTTCATTTAGTTTAAATTATTGACATTCTTTGTTGAAAGTACCTGCATATGTGACAAAATCTTCACTCTCTTTTTCGCTAAATTCATGCAACTCCAACGAGCATGGAACAGAGAGAGCATTTGTCACTAAAAAATTTTGTCAGAATGTATACTGTGTCTTCAAACCCTATTTCACCTGGTTTTCTTGGTAAAATATAATTACGGTACTTTTCGTACTCTATTGGAGCTAATTTTCTTAACAACAATCTGTTTTTTTATCTTCTTCCTAGCCACTGCATTCCTGACTAAATAACGTCTGTGAAAATACACAGCAAAATGCAGTCCATCATCAACATTGTATATGAATTCTGATATGGTGTTTTGCACCATGTCTGGTGTAAGAGACGTTGAAGAATTTTTCTTCAAAACCACTTCCAACAACTTTTGTTGTTGTTTTTTGCAGTTGTAACAACTGTTGGGTATTTTGTTCTTATTGCTTCTGTTGGTGGTGGTGTTGCATTTAAACTATTGAAACCAAAATTTTCCCCATATCTACAAGACAAAATTTATTTTTGAAACCAACATGGTTGAAATTTTTGTAACTCAGAGTTACTGGGGGTGTACTCTTTACTCCATACCAACTACTTTATGAAGGTTGAGATGTAGTATAGTGGGAGTGGAGCTGTATCATTGATTCAGTAGAGCCCCAAGATCCTCACACCAGCCATTGGTGATAATAATCCATATTCTTGGCTATGGGAATAAAAGTTGGTGTTTTTGGAATGAAAACAATATATGTAATATCTACTATATTCGCTTCAAGTAATCATCTTTTGTCTTTATACCTAGGAAAAGGAAAAGATTAAAAAAAAAAATCATTTCCGTATTATTTCCTGTTTAATCTTCCTCTTCGTCTTTGAGTGGATGAAAAAGGAAAATATTGAGGGGGATTTTTTTTTTTTTGTAATTACATTATCTTTTTCATTCAATTCATCATTCAAAATTTTTCACATTTTATTCGATGGGGTCATGTTCTTAAATGTCTAATCATTTTGGATAGTTATTTGATATTTGTTTATTCATAATGGCTTACTTGGTAAAGTCCTTCCTAGAATTAAGGGGTTTTCATAAGCGAGTCTTTAAATGTAATTTTTCGCAATTATTATTGTTGTATGGTGATCTTTAGTATTTTCACTTCCATTTTCGTAAAATCTTGGAACTGTCTGCTATTGTCAATACAAAAATATTGCTAGTTTAAGTTCCAGAGAAAGAGAAATAATACAGCAAAAGATTACAAACAAAAATATGATAAAATGATTGATATGAAATCTCCAAAGTATATAAAATAGAATTCATGAAAACCAGTTGGATGTTTCATTTTTCTTTTATATTCTTGCTAATGTTTCACTCATGACACATTCTCATAACAGAAAAAAACTTTATACTTTGTTTTTTGCCTTTGATTTTTTTTTCTCAGTTGTTTCAAAAATTCTGGTACAGAACTAAATGTTAAAGTTTTTAAAAAATTGAAACATCTAACAAATTCCATCTCACAGTCAAAAATATACAAATACATACGGTATGTTATTTGCTATTATCTTCAATAATTCATATAAAGTCAAGATACAAAGAAGAGAAATATAAATGTTTATGCTTTCAGATAAACATATTTTAACCTTTTCTCTTTAGGAACTATTTATTACAATAGAACTGTTTTTGCATAGAAAACTATCCTCAGAATCCCATTCTATTCCAATCTATTTGGTATCCACAAAAATTCAAGACTTCAAAAATATAGAAAGATTAAGACAAATTAAGCTAAAAAAAAAAAAAAAAAAAAAAAATTATAGAATTCAGGAGACTATCATAAATTGTAAAAACGCAAATCAATGATTTCAATAGATGAAAGGAAAAACAAAAGTTCACCAACCAAGTTAACTTTTCCTCGACTTAATTTTGGTTCATGATGGCTGCTTCTTGTGCTGTTAGTCTTGGCATGAGGATCACCAAAACGACGTTTCAAATCTTGGATCTTTTCAAGCAAATCAAACTGCTTAGTTGTCTGAAATAAAATTAAAAAAAAATAATGCAGGTTTAATAGTTATTAGTTATCAGTGATAATATTATACCAAGACTTCAATTTTTTTAATTATAGAAAAATCTCTTCTCCAAAGAAAAAAAGAAAATCAACTTTCCCCTTGTTTCTAAGGTATATACTTAAGCATATGGTCTCCAAAAATGTTGCCCATACCTGATTAAAACTCACTGAACAGTAATAGCAATTCAAATAAAGTAGTGTATATAGGTTTGTTAAGAAGGCTGTAACCAAATGATGAAAAAGTATTTATTTTACAACATAAATGCCTTCATTGTTAATCTACTTAACCCAACATGTTTTTATAAAGCTAACATTATACAGTGAGTATTTCAGATAAACATTCAGCTAGCAGAAGTTTCAGTTTACAAACTTCTTGATCTATCACTCATAATATTCACAAATTACACGCAAAATTAAAAGAGAAGAGAAAATTGTAGAAATTCCTTGTATCCAAGACGACTTAGATATTTTTATTCTCTTAAAATAACAAATTTAGCTGTACAAAATTATTGTTTTTATTTATACTGAATATCACTATAGCTATTTCCTTTCCATTGAGCACTCTTTTATTGGAATGAATAATATTTATAGACAAATATAAGGCAGGTAATCTCTAATGTTCTATGACGTATCAATTTCCCAATATATTTGGTTGCCTTAAGACTCCACTGAAACTTGCTAACTTTTTAGTGAAATTTGACCCCTAAGTTTTGCCTTGGAAGCCAGTTCTGCTTGTAGCAATGTGAGCCTTCTGCTTAATAACAAGCACAATGTCTTTTTGTGTTTAATAGTAGTGATGTGAACAGTGATGTGGGTATCATAGATGACTAAAGTTCATGGTGATTTGTCTGTCTGATCACCATCTAGTTGCCTTCTTTTATCATCAGATTATGGTTAAGATCAGGATGGAGAAAGAGAAGCTGTTTTTGTCAGACTTTTGTGAAAGCTGGGTAAATGCCTGGATGATTGTATTGTGGAAGAGAAGCTGATAGTGGCATCTTTAGATGACTGGTTATAGAGAAAGGATTTTGTGCTTCTGGGAAAGACCTATCAGCCCAAGCCAAATTAAAGTAGAATGTTTTTTTCTTCTTTTATTTAGCTAGTTTAACTTAGCAAGAAAATATAAACCCTGCATCTCTTCACACTATATTTTTTTAGTTACAATCATTTCCTCTTCTCACTTACTCTTCCCTATTGCTTGGTTTGGTTGATTTCATTTAGCAACATAACACCTCTATGGGTTATTTAATGCCAAAATCTAAATATTTTGAATGCCATTGCATGCCTTCAACAATGGACAAAATGTATTGGTCATTCTATTATAAATAGGTATTTCTGGTAATCTTACTATAAAAATGTATTGATTTTTACTTTCATAGTGTTTTGGTTTTGTTTGGAGGTTCACTATTTGCCTGTAGTATGGACCTTAACAGGTGCTACCACCCCAGGTCAGAATGAATCTGGGAAAATCAATTAGGAGGTAGTATAATGCTTCTCGAAACCTTCAATCTACCAATCAGAAGCCTTGTTGCTGGATGTAGGTTATTGCTATATCTAGGATTATCCCTCCCTATTAAATAACAGTTCTCTGGCAATGTGGAAATATTTTGCTTTTTTTCTTTATTTTTTTTTCCTTCTACATTTTTCCACTGGTTAACTAACTCTTGTGTTATATTAGAATTCTGGCAATGATGCTTACTCATACATTTCTAAATATTCATGTAAACAGGGTTTCATTTAAATCATTAGGGTAAAATTTTTTAAATGTAAATGTGTTTAGAGAGATTTTCATTGAGAATTTTTGTTGATTGTCACATGAAAGATGTCAGAATAAACAGGATGAAAGGAGCAATAAAGAATGGTTGAGTCACTAGAGAAAAATAGCTAAACACTAGGATAGTTATATGAACACTTTCCCCAGTTTTGAAACTTCCTTGTGTCATATCTTTTGTTCTTATACAAAAATTACTTTGTTTAATCTGCTCACCAACATGCAGTAAGTAAAATCTTTGCACTCTTCTCAAATGCTTACTACAAAAACCATTAATGTAAATCATTTTGTATTCTTTGAGTTCTCAATTTCACATTTATATTTCTTATCACTGGAAGATAATCTTGAAATTAATGAACAAAAAGAACTTTCTATATGAACACATGCTCTGTAAGGACTTATTTTGTACATTCAATGCAGTTAAATTTCATTTTAAAATATTTTAATCCAACAAAGAATTATCAGCACTTCTGCAAAAAGGAATTTTACCTAATGCTTAATTATATTTTTACTATTTTTCTTTTGCATACAACTGTCTGATCTTTGGTTTCAGGCAGATCAGATTTTCTTGTCTCTCCAGATGATTTTTAGTTTTCTGTGCTGCTCTATTTTGGAAACCTCTTTGCTGATAGTCAAGTCATGATTTTTTAATCGTCTCACTACTTTAAGTATATGGCTACTGACTTATCTTGCTTGAAAGCCTTTTAACATTGTCTGTCATGAGTTTGGATTTTTTTTTACATTAATCTCCATGCCATATCTGAAGGATGTTTCACCAAGGTTCTTCACCAAAATGAAGATTTCCTTTTCTTTGTCAGCTATGCCATCTATCATAATGATAATATTATAAAGAAATATTCAGCATTTATTGACTTTCTCCTAGCTTTTTGTATGAAGTAGTCTGGAACATCAACATCTTGATTATGTCATTTTCTTAAGTTACACATGCTACCCATTTTAGTTGTTGCTGTTGTTGAAATTCCTCAAGTGATGCCATCTGCAAAATGAAAGTTTATGATGTTGAGACTGCCAATCCTCAAGGGCATCACTTATGATGTGTTCAAGGAAGATGTTAGTGGGCGTAAAGAACAGAAAACAGCCTTAGCACTGATAGATATGTGAAACAGCCTTTAAATTTAAATGCCATTGTTGAATTGATTTTCTGGAATTGTCTCGTTTAAATATCTAAATCTTTTTTTTTTTAGTTATCATTACACTCAGAACATAATTTTCATTCATTAAGTTTTATCTCTAATAATATTGAATCAATTGTTAGGTCTGCTGCTAAGAAAGTTGATTCACTGTCATGCTAGACCATTTTTTTGCCAGAATCTATCTTACTTATAAGTCTATCATTCATCCATGCATTGAATATTGCTGCCACATATGGTCTGGTGCTTCCATGTATTTAGACATTCTTGATAAAATCCAAAGAAGAATCTGCAATGTTATCTGACCTGACCTGGCATCCCTGCTTCAATCACATTCCCACCAACGTAATGTATATTCCCAATTGTTTTACTATAAATCTTTTCTCCATGGTACTTAAACTTTATTTGCAGGAAGGTCTCATCATTATACAGTTGAAATGACTAAATGTAACCATAAGTTCTATGCTAACAGTTTCTTCCCTTGCACTTGTGAAACTCTTCCAGCTTCTTGCTTCCCAGTCAACTTTGATCTTCAAAAATTTAAATGCAATGTCAATCATTATCTTCTGTCTTCTTAATTCATGTTCTTTTATAGTTTTCTCTCTTTAACAATGTTTTGTTTTTTTTTTTTCATATTCTTTCAGACTCATTATTCCCTTGCATCTTAGTGGCTTTATGCTTTGCTTGGGGTGAAATGATAAAAAAAAATTCCTTAGTATTGTTTCTCTAGGTTAACATGGAAGTTATATATTGTCCATTTTGTAACCTTAAGTTACCGTACTTAAATCTCAATGCCTCTCTTTACATTCAGCAGCAAATTTAATAACTTCACCCAGAATTAATTAATACCATCAGTTTTTAGTTAATTGATATTCATTAATTCATGTTCTTTTATAGTTCATGTACTAATAAAAGCAACAATTCCTTGAAAATATCTTGCACTTTAAAATGACCAATATTACTAATTCATTTGATATTATCACTGCAGCTAATATTACTATTACTAACCATTACTTTTATCTTCCAAGATGGGCAGAGTTATAAATGAAAGCACTATACTGTTAGTACAAAGTGATTGCATCTGTTCTGAAATGATATAATTGTTAAGAGTAGTATTTTCAAATGCAGAATTAGTGAACATTCATGGTTGAAGAAAGAAGTATCTCAAACTGGAAATCACACCGCAGTGTCCTCATTTTGTGTGTGTGTGTGTGTGTGTTTTAAACACGCTGATGACTGAACAACAAATCCACACAAAACAATTGTACCTTCACCTGCTGACAAAAAATACTAGAGAGAGATCATTAAGTGGGTGGATGTTGACAAACTAAAGTCTTTAATTTCACTCCAATTTATATCCTAACAAAAGTTATTTTATACAATGTGCTTTTCATATAAAGGGGAGAGTGAAAACTTAAGATGTAACAATAAGTACAATGATATTAAAGGGTTTAAAGAAAACAGCTTGAAGATAATTTGTTTCTTTTCTTTGAGTCAATACAGGTAAATGTAACAAATTACACTATCCTAGCTTTTTGTACAATCTTATAAAGGAAAAATTAATAGATTTTTTTCTGGTCTCAACAAAAACTTGCAATAAAATAAATATAAAGCTTCATAAGAGTTGTTGCTATATTACGATGCTATTGAATGATATTTTTATGTCTGTATAATAATGAATTCTTTTGACTGTGTTCTATTATTTTGTATAGCCAGTGTTAGGATTGTCAAAGTAGAAACTAAACATGAATGCAGACATGAACCATTTGCAACTAAATGCAGCTAAAATTAACTAAATCATTAACTTTTAAACAGCTAGCCAATTTTTTTACCAAACCAAAACAACTATTTTTCCTTAACAGTTAGAATTCACCATATTTCAAAATCAGAAATATTTGCAAAGAACTTTCTAAATTAATAAATGATTAATGCAGAAACAGTTTTTCTTTATAAGAACATATTTTTAAATTTTCTGTAATCAGAATTACAAGGACTAAGAGAGAAAAAAAATTGATTGTTGCTCGGAAATTAAATTAAGGTTG